GCGGCACCCCCGCGCGGCCCAGGCGGCGAACGCGGCCGAGCCGCAGGTGACGGCGGGTCCCCGCACCGCCGCGAATCCCCCCCGGCGGCGCCCGGCCCGGCCCCCGGCGGCGGGGCCGGGCTATTTATAGCAGCCGCCCGGCGATATAAGGGATGGCGGGCGCGGGCTGCGCTGCCGTGGCCGCCGGGGCCAGAGCGCGCGGGGGCCGCGGGCGCCTCAGGGCGGGCGCTGAGGGCGCGGCCCCGCAGCCCGGGTGAGCGGGCGGGGAGCGGGCTCGGAGCGGTGCCGCTCCGTTCTGTGAGCGGGGCCGGGGGACGCGGCCAAACAAACAATAACCCGGGCGCGTTCTGCCCGTCCCCCGCGGGGCGCGGGACAGCGCGGCGCACTTTCGGCGCTCCACGCGTGACAAGCCCGCGGGAGGGGCGGGACCGCCGTGACACCCGGCGGTAACCGCGGCGGGGCTTCCCCCTTCTTCTTTCCTCTCCCCACAGCGATTCCTGCTGAAATGCGGCGCCCCACGCTGGCATGAGCCCCCCCGGCGGGAGCAGCGCGCCCCGGGCACCGCCGCTTTCCCTGGCCGCAGCTCGGTGTCGGGAAGAAAGCGCTGTCGCCGACTGTCGCCGTGGAGCCGCCGCTCGCGGCAGCGCCGGACGCCGGGCAAGGGACGGACGGTACGGGGGATTGGTGCGGCGGGTGGGCTGCGGGGGGCTCGGGGTCCCTGCCCCGCCGGGAAAAGGGAATGTATGGCGCCATGGTCGGAACGCCGTGTGGTCCGTGTCTTCTCCGGGGTGTGCGCTGAGTTACGCGGTGTAATGGAAGATCTTTGTAAGTTGAGGGTTTGTTGGGTTTTGCTTGTGTCAGGGGTTATTCCCCCCGCCACAGATTCAGAGCCACGGTATTATTTTACTTTCCTACTCCGGGTGTGTTTGGATGTGATCTGGGCATGGCGAGGATTCTTGTCTTACATTAAAATTGCTCTTGGATCACTGAGTACTTTGTATGAGCTTCCATAACTTTTAGAAGGCTAGAGATGCTATCTTCAATTACAGAGAAACAAGGAGAGGAGAAGGTATGGGTTTGGGTTTGGTTGTTTTGGTTTGGTTTTTTTCTGGTTTTACTTTACTTTTACTTTGCTTGTTTACTCTCTGCTTTAAGAAAACAAACTGAACCACAGATAGGACAAGGATTTTTCAGACCTTGTGATTTGGATTGCTGGGGATTAGAAAGAAAACTTGTAGGTTTTTTGTTTGTTTATTTACTTTAATCAATAGCTCAAGAGCCCTAGAAACAACGTATAAAGCCCTGCTTCCTAGACAGAGAAGCTAAGATAAAGCCACGCTGGCTTCAAGCTGAGGAGCAAGTTAAGTGTTAGACCTCGAGTGGCTCGCTCTCAAGCATCCTGCACTGCTCTGCTCCAGTGACTCCCCTTGTCGAGCTGGTCACGTCGTGCAACAAATTGGGACCTCACACCGGCAGGTCGGAGTAGAGACAGGGCTTTTCTTAGAAGAGCAAAGCGCACAGGGGAGCCTTGACCCTGGCGTGGGGCTTTTTCCCAGCACAGGGAGCTGCAGCCCTTCAGCGCTGTCAGCTGGCACTGATCTCCAGTAATGCCACAGAAATATGAAAATCTAAGCTACCAGCTCCTGAGGTAGCTTAAATCATCTAAATTCGGATTTTGTCGGCAGGCTTAAAGAGATGCTATTGACTGGAAATGTTTATGTATGTCTTACCTGGAATGAACTGTTGTTCATACAAGAGTTGATATTAAGAAGAGTGAATCAACTTTATAGTTGTATCAGCTGTAAATGTGTTTTCTGAGTTTTCACTCTGAAATTACCTCGTTAGCTCCAGGCTCTTTTTGCATAAGACAGATTCATTTCAAATGCCTTAAACTGTTACTCTTCTTTATGAAAGGTACATGTCTCTTGCTCTGAATCTGTTAAAACAGATTTGCAAAGACAGGGTCTATTAACTTAAGTAAGGCTAGGAGAAAGATAAGCGAAAGAACAAGGGGTGTGGCAAGGAAATTACAAAGTAACAGCTTTAAAGAAGAACTCTCTGTAGCAGAGCTTTAGACTGCCTAAGAGAGGTAGGATTTCTTTCTATGTATTTAAGTCTGAAAATACCAAGCTGACAGCATCTCCTTAAAAATAATAGTGTATGTAGAAAATAGGTATGAATAGCTTCGTATTGTAGTTCTGCATCAATTTGTTTGTCTTTCTTTGATTTTGCTCCTCCATTCCAGGAGATATCTGGTGTGATAGAGTGTATATCCAGACTGCAGAGGGCCAAACACCCCACCAGCATCACTCCTGAACCAGAACAGCTGCACTAGGGTCAGAACTGGCCCAGCACCTCTTCTCAGAAGTTATCTGAGAGGAAGTTCTGTTTATTAAAGTTTTTGGTGGGTATTTTCACAAGGTCAAAATTTTTTGCAGAGAATGCTAAGAATTGCAGAAATTAAACTTGCCTTCTTTCGGGGGGAACTTTTGGTATGTGTTGCCTTGGATTAACCTGGTTAATCCTGGGACTGAGGTTAACACCAGGGAGGAATAACATTGTATCAGAAGGTGGTTAGAAAGGACTTTCTTCCTTCTCCCCACCCATTTTTTTGGCACTGGTGGAGAAATGGCATGGGGACTGGAAGGAGGAGGATGAGTCCTGCATGTGAGCTGGTGTTGTCATTAGCCAAGGCAATGTAAGGCAGGTGGATATAGGGAAAATAGATGTGATGATTCATTATTGTTGTCATTGTGCTGGGGTTTCTTAGGCTCTTCTTTAACTGCAGTGTCCTGTACTCAAGTCCTCCCTGGCCCATTAGCTGCACCGTGTGCTCCTAGTGGTGTTTCAGGGCTGACAACGTTTGAGCAGGAACTCTACTCCCTTCTCTTAATTCTAGAAGGCTACTTGAGCAAAACTGTTCAGCTTTATTCATTTCTGCCCTTTCATTTTTATCTTCCTTCCTTGGGTGTGAAGTCCTTTTTGTAGCTGGATTCAAGCCAAGAACCTCTACCCACAGCTGCCAAGCCTGGCATCCCTACTGGCTCCAGGTGAGTCAGTTCATTAGGATGAATCAGTGTGCCCTGTAAAAGTTTTAGGCTCCAGACATCAGCTTGACCATTCTTAATAATTTGGTTTGTCTGGTTTATTTGTTTGTCACTGCTTCAGCTAAGCTGCCGTTTCTGGTGGCTCCTCACTTCAGACTTGCTCAGCCTTTGGAGCCATACAGGGTCTTCAGTCAGTGTCCCTGCACTTTGTGGAGCAGCTTTTGCCTCAGCATTGTAACTTTTCCATGATTATTCATCCTTTTACCTTGTACCTGCACAGGGGAAGTTAAGGGGGATTGCCCCTCAGCATGAGAATGTGCAGCTCTCAATACAGGGAGTACTTCAGACTCTGGAGGTGGACAGTAACAACATGAATCCACAGGAATGAAGAGGGAAGTGTTTTTGCATCGTGGAGGTGTTTGCATAGGCTTTTACTTTCATAAATAAGTAGATTGGGATTCAGGGGACAGATTCAATGTGAAAAATAGGGAGTTCATTTTCAGGCTTCCAAGGCAGGGCTGAGGAAGAGAAGTGCTGTTAAAAGATATGGAAATGTGCTTTGAAAGTAACCTTGCAAAGATGGATGACGTTATTTTTGTTGTATGAAGCACCCAATTTAACGAGGTATAAAGCAGAAGGCTTGGGAGGACTTGGTCCAAGTGAAAACAGAATGAGCGTGGGACTGACAGATGGGAGGAACATTAGCCCACTCCTTGGTGGAGTTGTTGCTTCTTTCTCCTGTTGTTGCTTACAGCGATGCTTGAGAGAAGATACTTACTGGGGAGGGAAGAATAGCCTTTGTGTTCTACTTGAGTGTCATTGGCTCTATTTTTCTCTGTGGGGAAACAAAGTTCCAGTGCTCCAGTGGGTCACATCCTGACTGCCTGTATCCAAAGTAAATCTAGAGCAACACTGTCTACTTCAAAAATATCTGCAATAAGCCAAGACTGGCTCTTTCTGAGCAGAGAGGATAAATGAACAGCTGTAACTTCGGATGCTGAATTTTTTTGCATACTCGTGTTTTTTTGAGATTTATGACTCTTTTATTCTCTGTTTGAGAATGTAGTGGAGCAATTGCTGATCTGTGTATGTGTGAGAAGATGTCAGTGGAGGAGTAATATATATGGAAATCTTGCATAGAGATAGAATAGGCAGCCAGTTTGCCATTAGATAATGAAATAATTGTACAAAAATGTATCTCCTGAAATAACAGTTGAGCGAATGGGTAGGGACAGGGTTGGGGGAGGCTAACAATATTTTTCAGTAGTTTGCTCTACTTATAGTACTCATTACTGACTCTCCTGCAATTTTACTGCTTCAGACACTGCTTTTCCATGAGTGGTGCTTTGTGTTGCACAGGCAGATAGATTCCATCTGAGACACCAGCCCAGTTGCTGGAGCTAGGTGAAGGGATGGGAAACTGCCCCCAGGTACTTTCTTTGTCACAACCTGGCCAAAGGTAGGTAGGCTAAGGTCAGCGACTCCTACAGGTACCAATGAACCTGCCTCTCACTGAATCCACTTTTCTTCTTTCTAAAATGAAGTAGTAGAAGTTATTTCTTTGTGGGGTGTGCTGGGTGCATAAATATAGCTGAGATACTTCAGAAGGCATCTAAATATCTGAGACAGTCTTGGATGGGATTCCCCTTTCTTATACTTCTCTTCTGGCTAGAACTGGCCAGCAGAAATGTTCAGTGCTTGTACAATTTACATATTAATTTTTGGCTAAATTTTGTTAGCCTTGGAATTTGTTTGACATTGATAGGCTCAAGAGTAAAATCTTTAGCTACTTTCTTGTACTTTCTTCTACTATAGAGCAGCTTAAGTTCCTGGCACTCTTTCACCTTCTCCCTTTAAATAACACAATGCCTGCTTTGCCTTCTCTTTGAGAAGGTCTGCTTCTGCAAAGAATGTTGCACCAAATATATAACTTTATGCAAGGTGGTAAAAATGGTTTATTCTTTCTTCATCCCTGCTCTTGACTGCATCTGCCTAGTTCTTGGTCTAGAGATAAATGTCACTGAGGACTGCCTGGGGACTATTTAGCATCTGAATGGTGACTTGTAATGATTCAGGTGATGGGCCAGACCACTGTTTTATGTAGTGACTTCTGCTAGTCCACCGAAGTCCAAACAGCTGCTCCAAGTTTCTATCATCTCCAGTGAACACAAGTACAACAGCATCAGCTTGCAGCCAGTTTACAGTAAACCTACTCCCTGGGCTGTGGGTTAACCTCCTTAAATGTCCCTTGTGGTCAGCTCTGTTACTCTTCTATGTGAAAATAAGTCTTGGTGTGCTTTCTGATTTACTGAAGTGTAAATAAACCAAGAAGGTCTTTCACGTTCAGGCTCTCTCATCAGCATATATTAGTAACGCTCATCAGCTTTTGACTGGAACTTTGATGGCATAATTACTCTGAAAGGGTAACATATTCAAAACTACCTGTGTGACTTTGGGAGTTAGATTCCGCAGAGTCTTAGTCATTATTTTAAAAAGGAATTAGCTTTTTAAGCTACACACACTCCTGGAAATTTTAAGCAAAGGCTTCTGTTTATCTTGTCTTTAAAATGCCAGTTTCTAGGATGAGAGTGCCGGCTCTGCCACTCCACTTATTTCAGATATTAAATAAGAATGCTGGAGAAACAATTAGGAAAATACTGTGATAAATAAATTCTCATAGGTAATCTTACTAGAGAGGTCCAAGAGGTAAAAGTGTACTTTTCAGTCACCTGGCAGCAGGATTGTTATGGGCATGCATTTTCAGCTGTGTCTTTAGGACAGCTGAGAGGATGACTGATGTCTCAGCTGTTGTTGCAGACAGAGCACAGCATGTATTTCTTTAGACAGGATTTGGTGCACTTAAACAGCTTGTGACTAGAACAGTTCAAGTCACTGGGGCAAACATGGTTATCAGCAGAAACAGATAAACTAAGAAAACAGTCTTGCATACTCTAATGTTTGTGTAGGTAAGATTTTAATTTGCTATCAGTCCTAGGGTTCTTTATGAGCAGTGATGGATTACTCTTGATACTTGTGCAAGTTTTAAAGCATTCCTGTAACACTTGTAATGCGAAAACTATTTATTTTGCAACATACCTATGAGATAGGGACCTGCTATTTATCTCATTTGTACAGCTAGGGAACTGAAGTTTTCAGTAAAGCTAAACACAGCATGAGGGATTGATCACACAAGAAAGTCTGCAGCAGGACAGACAGGAGGGTGCTGAAACTGGGTCTTAATTCCCGAGAAAATTAACAAGCTCTGATCCATGCTTTTCCCATCTGTTTCTTCCTTGGGGCTTCTGAAGCAGCTTGTGGCATTTGCTTGGTTAGGCAATGTGGGTTTGACTTTTCTAAGGAAGAAAGCTCAAGCCTGGTGATGGAGGGAGGGAGGTGATCTGTGTCTGGGAAAGATGAAGAGTGGGGAACATCCCCCAGCTAGAGATGCCTCCACCACCACTTCTTCAGTGAGTGCCTTCCCCAAGGCTGGCACAGGCTGCTTCTCAGCTACTGAAACAATGTTCCTCTCTGGCAAATCCCTGCTCTTCCTGTGCCCACAGCCAGCTCTACTCCTCTTTATAAAGTTGATATGAGTGGCTGTGTTGATGATGGAGCTTCCTGCCCAGCTCCACACCTGCTGCCACAGTGCTGAGTCCCTGTGCTGCCTGGCTTCCCTGACGGAGCAGAGATTCCACTGCTGCATCTCAGCCATGTGAGGGTCAGCAGTGTTTGGAGTTTGATGAAGGAAGTTGTCCAAAGCTGGCAGGAGGAATTTTTTTGCTATGGTTGCATGATGAACAGTAACAATGTGAGTTTTATTGCTCAGAATGTATCCACATTTATAGGATGCTATATTTAAAAAGGAGAAAAAATGAGTCATGGGGAGCTATGCTAATGCTAAGTATTTATGTCTACCTCTTGTGAGGCTGAAGGCAGTGGGAGTTGAGCAACATTCTTGTGAAGTGTCTAGAGGATTTATGGATCAAACTAAAGCCTGCTGAAGTCAGCTGTAAGTCATGCAGTGCCTTGCTCAGGGCCCATGTCATGTACTGTGTGTGGGTTACAGTGAAATATTCCTCTTGGGAAACCCGGGAGCGCTCAGTGCTGTCAGATTCCCTGGGCTCGGGCAGGAGCTTGACTTGCTCCCAGTGATTATTACTCTGCCACTGGAAAGTCACTCCTGGCTCACTGCCAGGGCAGGCATGTTGCTGTGCCTCCCAGGCCATGCCTGCAGCGCCACAGGAGCAGGTACCTGCGCCCTGAGTGGGAGCAGGCAGAGCCTGGCGTGTCTCGGCTTCTCCTGCACTCCCAAGGAGATGTAGTGTCAGGGTCTGCTGTGGTACAGGCTGCTGGAGCTTTCCTTTCAGAGCTGGCTAGGGTCACAGGGGTGCCAGGGTTCGGATGCTTTCACTTATGTCATGTCTTTACACTAATTCAGTTGGCTTCCACTTAATTATGCAGTGCAAATGTTGGAGTTTGTTTTATTTAAAAGTTCTTTAATGAAATTGCGATCTGATTGAGAGCACCAATGAATTCAGCTGTCCAAGCGTCTGCTTGCCAGCATGCCTCAGCTCCTGTCACAGCTATAGGAAGGACTGGGATCAGGATTTCAGTGGTGGATGAGCCAACAATGGAGTATGGAGAGGGACTCTGTGAACAAACCCTGACAGCGCCATGTGTCCAAAAAATGCAGATTTGGCAACAGCCAGAGGCTCCGCAGATCCTCTGTATAATCCACTTATTGGAAGGAGGAGGTTTTGAAGTGAGCAAAAAATAATCATTAAAGTGAAATCTTCAGTTTTATTGGACTTTATTTTGTTTTCTTGTGTTTTTTTTTTTTCTGTTTGGTTTTTATTTAAGAATTGGTCATATCAGTATAAAAATGAATGTGTTTAATCTTCCTTGGATATAGTTTTGAGTGGTACACTATTGCAGCCTTTTCTGTTTTCCAGTGCAATGCATGCTCTGGTTTATGGAAACAAATACTTGTTCATCTTGCAAAT